ACCAAGCAGGCTTTCGGAGAGGCCAAAGTACAATAGACCACTGCCTCACACTTTACCAACTAGCCTATTCGGCAATGAAAGGTCCAACCAAAGCTCTATACACAGTATTTGTAGATTTAGCCACAGCCTTTGATTCTATAGATATAAACCGTTTATGGGAAAAACTTGGGAAGACAGATATAGATAAAAGACTCTTAGCACTGATTCGTGAATTGTATTCTAGTACGTTTGCAAATATCAGAGTGGGCACCTCTGGTTCCCTGACCAGAGAAATCCCTACAGTAAGAGGGGTAAAGCAGGGATGTGTGCTAGCTCCCTTACTTTTCAACTTATTTATCAATGACATCGTAGAAAGTCTGTCCGGCCAGAAATTTGTTGCACCCTCACTTAATAATCAGAAGATCTCTCTACATGGTCTTGATTTCCTTAACCAGAGTGGGTCTGAGGAAGTTGCTGAATGGCCTGGGGGACTATTGCTCAGAAGAAAATTTGAAAATAAATTACACCAAAACAAAAGTGATGGTCTTCCGTAAAAGGCAACAATATTTTTCATAGTCCATACATGGCACCTCAATTGAACAATGCAAAACCTACAAATATTTGGGCATAACTTTCCATGAATCCTTGAACTGGAATGCCCACATAGCTTTAACAAAAACAGCAGCTCTCAAGACCATAGGTGCATTAATGGGATTTTTCCACAATAAGGGTGGCCACCTCATAGATCCTGCCATTAAGCTTTACATTAGCAAGGTCATCCCCCAAATACTCTATGGTGTTGAATTATGGGGATGGCAAGATCAAACCCTTACCAAGCTGGAAATAATCCAAGATAATTTTATGAGGCGTATTCTGGCGCCCCCACAGGGGACACCAGCAGCCATGATGGAAACTGAGCTTGGCTTACCCTCAATAAGGGCTCGTGGACATGTTATAATCTTGAAACTTTGGAAGAAACATCAGCAAGCCAATACTAGCAGTTTTAATAATTCTAGCTTCCATATTCTGCAAACTAACAACCCAGCCCATCTTAGCACACTATCCAACATCATTGCTAAATACACAATTCCCGATGACTTATTATCCCCTTCAGGTAACAACTTACATTTGCGTGACTGGGTCTACAATAAAGATACACTAATTGACAGATCTCTAATCAGTCGACAGAAATTTGCACAACATCCATCATTTAAAACAGACCACTTGGCTCTTATTTCAATATATAGCATAAGAAGGGCACTCACTGCTCTTCGCTTTCAGACCATGCCATCTGAGCTGTTAAAAGGACGACACCTCAAAACCTTGTATGATCAACGCATCTGTCTGTGTGGGATTTCGGTAGAAGATCTAACACATTACATTTTAGAATGCCCTCTGTATACTGGCCCCAGAATCAAATTTCTTAACCCAGTCCTAACAACTTTAGAATCCACATCAGGCATTGAAATAGTAACCTTTTTGCTCTCTGACGTCAATCCCACTATCTCCTATACAATGGCACTCTATGCTCATGCTGCAAGGAAAATTAGAGATAAGGCTATGGAATGACTGTACTTTCAGAATGTGCTATTTGAGAAACCTGATTTTAAAACATATTCATCTATATATTTTAATTTTCTTTTAAATCTATTGTCGATCTTTGTACTGGTTTTTTTATCTTTCATATTGTGATGGCCATTGGCTACATGCAATAAACTCTGAACTGAACAATTAAATTAGTTTTAAGACTGCCAAAGGAAAAGACTAACATTCTCTAAAACTGAGTCTTTGCACTGTCTCGGAGGTACAAATTGAGCCTAAATTCAATTACTGAAAAGGGCTTTTCAAAGCTTAGCAGGAATCACTATGTCTGCCAGTCAATACTTAACATTGTACTTTAGCTTTGGTTCAAATCGCTGCTTTCTTAGGTCACTTCCACAGGCTCTTGACCCATCTTGCCTCCACACCTGCAGCAGTTCTTATGTGATACTATCTGGCCATCCCCCTTCTAGATTTTCCCCAGCTCTGCTGCAGATTTCCAGAATAGATCCTACTCAAAACAGATTTGTGGAAAGTGTGGAGGGAATGGGTGTGTGTGTGTTTCAGCACCTCCCCACCCACATTCAATGCCATTCCCTTTCCTCTCTGCCAACAGTAGACTTGTAAAATTGGTGTTGTAAACATATTACAACAGTGTTAACATTACAGCAACACGTAAGGTACCAATTTTTTAAAGGCCAACAGAGACACCTAAAGAGGCATGGGGGATGGTTGTAGGGAGGGGAAAGAACATGGAATCTCCCTGTGCTTTGGATTCTCAGTGGCAAAGGCAACAAACTAAACAATTGCCCCTGTGCAGAAGCAGCCTTACAGTGCAATCCTGAGCAGAGTTATTCCACTAAAATCAAAAGGCTTAGGACCACAGTTACTCTGCATAAGACTATATTATGAGTCATTGAACACCTCTGCAAGGGGTACGGCTGAAAGACTCAGCAAGTTCCTGCCTTCATAGCCCTTACAGAAATGTTGGGTATGAGAATACATGCAACATGATAAAAAAAAAGCATTTTTTAATTAAAGACTGGAATATGCCAAAGGACAATTCAAGATAATTTCAGTGCAATCTTTTCTCCATGTATCTCATGAACTATGCTTACGGGATTAATATCAGTGTCATAATATTTTATGCAGAAAGACATTTATGGTACTCAACCTGAATCAACAAAACAAAAGTTTGGTGTTACTCATGCAGGTAAGAAACTGTGTTTGCTAGGCGCAAAAGAGACTATGTTTGCTAGGCGCATAAGAAACTGTGTTTGCTGTGGACTGTGGTGATCTGCCTTTCAGCTGGCTTTTCAAATGGAAGCTCCAAGACAGGCAGGAGGAGGCATGGAGAGTTAGTAGGACAGATAATTGTTAGTCAGAGCTGCAGTCACTTGCTAATGGTGCACTTATATGAATGTAAATGCTGTGATCCCTTTTTAGGAACCAGATCCCCCCCCCCAATATAATGAAAACTAGAATAATGGGAAAGGCAGGAATGTTAGAAAGCAAGAGAAAGTGGCAGGGACAGCTTTCCAGGAGCTGCATTTGCCCTCTATCTGGATTAGTACAACCACGATGATGACGATGATGATGTCACAGCAGTGACACTCATTTCTGAGTAAACTTTTACTTAGGCTTGCTTCCTGGGGTTCCTATGGAACAGTTATTCTGATTGTTTAGGTTATAGACTGAAAATGTGGACATGTATACAATATTATCCAACTAATGTGCCACAAGCAAAGCAATGCATGATCTGCTAGACCTGTTGATGTGGCCCAGGAGGCACTTATATTGTTGTGATTAGAAATGAGAAAATAACCATCAGAAATACAGGCCCAACGGGGTAGTTGCATGTTTACTGGTTTGTACTCTTTTGGGTGGGCCTAATAAAATGATTAAAAGACTTTTAAAAGAATTATTCTATGGACCAACGTGGCTGCCTACAATTTTTGCATAGTGCATGTGGCCATTACTTTCAGTTCTTTTTATTAGGATTTAATCCCATCACCTTGTACAAGCCATACACTTAAATATCTTCACAATTAGAATATTTATTGATGGGAATCATATTTCAATCCACTGAGAATTTTGCCTTCAGAGGTCTGATTGAAATAAATGGGCCTAGTGCAACTAACTTGAGCATCTGTCATCTTGCAAACTGGTGCACGATCCTTGTCCAAATAGCCTGGTTATGCATGCAGCTGGGATTGTGTGCTACACTGCAACTAGCTTGGGGAAATGTGAAAAGGCACTTTTAATGACCAACAACAGTTCAGAAAGGGGAAAAAAAACCCCTGAGCTACATGCACTAGTCTCCCCATGAACATTCCCAGGGGTCATTTCGTAGAAAAAGAGGTGCAGGAGCTCATTAACATAACTCATTAGCATAACTTATTTGCATATGCCACACCCCCTGGCATCACCGGACGTTTGTCTGAAGGCAACACCCACCACTCAGGCTCCACTGGGCTGTTTTGGATTGCTAGCTATTTGGGGGGGGGAGAGGAATGTACAGATCTGTCCTCGCAGAGGAGGGAGAGCTTGTACCTGAATAAAACTTAGTCTTAAAGGTGCCACTGGACTGTCTTAGACCGGGGGGGCCGGGGGGAGCTCTACAACTTACCTGGCTGCTTCTTGCTCTGACTGAGGGCTGCTGGGAGCAGGGGGCGGGACTTGTTGCATGTGCCCGCCCCCTGGGCTCTTTACTGCCGGAGCTCTGCTCCTGCAGGAAATGACCCCTGAACATTCCAAATATGATGGGCTGATTACACTTATCAGTCATGGTGTAGCCTGCATGTGAGCACATGTTGGCTTGGCATGTGTTTCTTGTTGCAGTTTCTGGAATACTGTACCTCATAGTAGCAACAACATCTTTGTACTACTTGTTGTGGCTGCTTGGGCAGCAGAAAATTACAAGAGATTCTGCTCATACTTTTTATACTTTCCAGCAGTCATAGTATAGTACAATAGGATCTCATACTGATACCATTCTGTTCCCTCTCTACCTGTCAGCAGTACAATCACACATGAATTTGTCTGAATCTAATATAATGGTAGCTTCAAATATGTAGCTGCTGTATCAGAATCTGTGCGTTTTGGTATACTTCTGTGTGTATAAAAGTGCTTTTGGATATAGGGGTTAGGGAATACAAGCATATAGGCATACAAGCAAAAAACGTATTTGTCAACACTTCAGTCTCTTAGTACCAGACCTTTTTAAACTGGAGACATTGAGAACTGACCCTGGGGCCATTTGTGTCCAAAGTAGATGCTCTACCACTCAGGCATAGCCCCCACTTATCCCAGTGATGGTGTTATTCAGGGAAATTAATCATATGCATATTAGATCTGCATCAAAATAATGAGCCTGTCCAGTTCTTTGTTTAACGCTGATGGATACATAGAATGTATCAGTACAATAAACACAGTAGAGATTTTTAAAAAAACAAATTGCATTTATTTGGTCATAGCCTTCTGAAGACTGTCACCTCTGGTTTCCCTCTCTTTTTAAAGTACTTCAAATTCATGCTACTTTTGTCATTATGTAATGAACTTTTCAGTATAAAAGAACAGATTCGGCAACCCAGCATAATTTTTTATATCTTTATGCAGTTCTGCTTGCATTTTCCATATCCTCCAATTCTAATTTGGATAGCACTTGTCTTGGCAACAGCCTCAGGACTGGGGCTGTTATGTCAATGGAATCACTCTAGTTATGCATCACTGTGGCTGAGAGCATAACCTCAACAGACTGTGTCATATACAAGGCCATTTTGCATTTCACAAGGACTCTGTCACACATAGCAAACTGTACACTGAAAAGCAAACAGCATTTCATGAGAAGCCTAACAAGAGCACGGTCCAGAGATATACATCCTTAAACCAAGATGTCCACAAATCGCAAGACTAACACAGGATGAGGAGGAGTGAAAGCATATTTTGGCAATTTGTACAGTACTTTAAGAGAATTCACCCTGAAAAGATCCATGTTAGACTGTTAATTGACAGGGCACCCTTGTAAGCTGACAATACCATGAATGTCTGACATTTTATTGACTAAGTGAGGTTTCTCATTGATTTTAACATCCTTCAGGCAGCCAAGGAACACATCCTGAACAGGAAGCCATGGGGTTTTCAAATTAACTGTAAAGACAAAGAGGAAACACGGCTAAATAAAGAATACATGAGCAATGCAGTAAACAGCGTAGAAAGCAAACATCTGACTCAGAAATAGTCTTCAATATCTCCTTTCTTTTGAAGGCAGCAGGAAAAAATATTTTAAATTCCTATGTATGTTTTCTTCCTTGTAAAACATAAAATAGTATTTAAAAACTCCTTTGAATGTAGTCCAGATTTCAGAAAAGCCTATTCCTCTACCATTAAAATTAGGAGCCCCTTTTTCTTGACTTCAATGGACCTAGAAGGGTATAACTCTGCTTATGATTGCACCGTAGGCTGGGCAGTTTCAGAATGACAATACAAAGTTTTTTAGATGAATTTCTTCTCTCCTTCAGTATGCTGTGTCTCCCATACACAATATACATGCTTCCTGCATTCTCCAATAGCAGTTAACGACATCACAGACTCCACTTGCTCAACACAATGCTCTATGGCCAAGGGGGAGCAGTGGATTGCAGGCAAAACAGTGAGCTGCGCAATGAGGAGCTGGCTGGTTAAGCGTCCTCTTGTTGTATCCAGAACAAATGTAATTACTATAGGACTGCTATCACGTCTCATACTTCATGCATTTGCATTTTATGATGTTAGCTCTTAGAAGCACTGTGGGAAGCACTGTGTTAGGCTGACTTTGGAGTAAGTTTGTGAGTGTCCTCTAAGATCTTACTGATGCTTACTACTTTCACTGATACTTACTAATTTTAATTTTTTTCTATGACACTTAAGCAAATATAAAAAGTAGATACCAGGAACAAAGTCATCATCAGTTCCCATAGTTGGTGATTAGCTGGACTAGCCACTGTGCACACTGCATGTGAGAAAGAAAATCCTGCCTTTTCCACAACAGATGAGATACTCTCAGTTTTCCTTTGGCAATGAGTTCTCCCTGATAAATGTAATAGTTCATCCAGGATGTGCATGTGCAAAACAAAAGTTGCAATAATGAAAGATTAATTAACAGTCCTACCTGGAACTCTCCCAAAATACAGTGGTTGAGCTGGTCTGGTAGAAAGTATAGCTGATGGTCCACTTGTGTAGTTACTCTTGGTATCTACACTTAGATGCACAATGTTCTGCTTCTGAGTTACTGTAAAGAATACAACAAATCAGTCAGCATCTTTGTTCCACCCACAAATTTCACCAATTTCATCTCTCCTTAGCTAACCCCCTTCTACATTAGGCAAATTTAGTGATCATATCATGTATCTGGATTTAAGGCCAAACAAACTACAGCTGCCATGCAAGATTAGATCAGTGCAGAACCCTTCCCTTGCCCATCCATTTTCCCTGATGTTCCCATGGTTTAACCATGACTGGGTTCTAGACCTACGCTTACCTTGCAGATATGACCCAGGAGCCTTGTGGGGCGGGGGGGGGGGAGCTGGGGGAGAAGTTTCAGGACAAAAGAGGCTTAAGGAAAGGGATATACATTTATTGCTCCTTTTCTAATTCAAGGCATCCTCCTTAAATGCACTTTGTAATGACGAAGGAACCATTAGTGTAACATGACATGCAGATGAAGTGTAACATGTAGCTGTAGCCCATATATGTGAGGGAATTTTTGTTGACACCTATTCTTACAGAAATGTAATTTGTAATGCTGGTTTATGCGTCTTATTCCAATGATAAAAGCATACCAGATAAAGCCTTTAAAACACAGAAACCAAAGCCAACGCGTCAAATCCAGTCAAAAATTATTTAATAAATCATTTTATGTAGTGGTGTCTGTGTGTGTATGTCTGTAAAGTGCCGTGAAGTCACAGCTGACATATGGCAACCCCAGCAAGGGGGCTTTCAAGGTAAATGAGAAGCAGAGTTGCTTTGCAATTGCCTTTCTCTGCCGAGTCTTCCTTTCTGGTCTCCCTTTCAATACTGATCCTACTTAACTTCCGAGATCCGATGAAATCGGGCTATACCATGCTGCCTTCCATTCCTTCATGCAGGCCACCAAGCATTTATTCCAAAGCAATCTTGCTGAAGTCCCAGTGAAATGTATTTATTAATTTATATTTCATCTTGGAACCCAAAACAGTATCCATCAGATTCCCAGGAAACTTCCTTTCCAAACACTGATCAGACACAGCCTTACTTAGTTTCAACAAGATATCACATGCCTTCCAACAATATCCCAGGACCACTTCAGGATTATTCCAATATGGTTTTTAGACTGAGATCATAATACATTTGCAATCAAGAGTTCATGACAACAGGAAGAAAGCTAAAACAAGCCTTACATACAAATTATGCATTTAAGAATGTTGATTAAAATGCATAAACTATTGTTTGTTTTTAAAAAGGCAAAAGACATAAATTTTGGGACCACAAAAATGTTTCTATTCTGTTTCTAAAGAACTGCTCAATGAATGTGCGGTACCTGCTACAGTGTGCCATTTTCCATCACACAGAGGCTGCTGAGGTGTGACGGACGTTGAGAATTCTCCAGCACCATTATTTCCAGAGGCAATGAGCTGTGAAAAAGTCATCTTTTGAATTACCAGTAACAAAAGATAAAACAAGAGCACAGACACACCAATATGCTACTATAAAGATTAATTTTACCAATGCTTTTATTTATTAAGATTTGTTATTTGCTTTTCAGCATAACCCTCTTAAAGAAATGTATAAATAAAATAGTAAAACAATGGGTTTGGTCCAGTAATCCATCAGCGTAAGGTGCTGACAGATGCAATTCTTGTCGCCCCCCCCTAACAGTCCCTTCCAAGAAAGTTGATTCCCAAGGATCTACTTGGATTAGCAGGAATATGATTCAAGGGAGTGCACTAAACAAGGGAAAGGGCAAAAAATCACCCCTATTTCCATCTGCAGAATAATTAATTAATAATTATTGTATGGCACTGTGTATTGTATAGCCAGGAAATCCAAAGATTGTCCTTTAGAGGCGAGCTAGACCTATTTTGAGAGGCTGAGGGAGTGCTGAGAACCGTGACTGACCCAAGGTCACCCAGCTGGCTTCATGTGGAGGAGTGGGGAATCAAACCTGTTTCTCCAGTTTAGAGTCTGCCACTCTTAACCACTATACCACACTGACTCTATCACTGGCAAAACTGTGGTGGAAGAAGAAAAGGAGAGGGCGTGCAAGTGGTAGGTGTAAGCCCCTCACCCTGTGCACTATGGTCCTGATCTAAATTGGCTCCCATATACCTGGCAATCTAAGTTTTACCTGGGAACTCCCATTATGGGTCTCCTTGACAGGACCTAAGAAGAATGCATTGTATCATCAGGCCCTCAGTAATTCAAGATCTCTCCCTGTCCCTTGCTACCCCTCCCCAGTGAATCTTGGCACTATAGATCAGGAGAAAATACAGTGAAAGCCAAACTTACTGTGCCTCGTTCCATGTAAACAGTTAAGAAGTTTCTTTGTTTATTGCCAGTGTGGATTAAAATACCAGTCAAGCTTCTTGGACGAATGTTAAATACGACTGTATATTCCAAACCCATTGCAAAAGAGTTTTCTGAGATTACAACAATAATTGGAAACAGTATATTAGAAAGGATACAAAAAATATGAATCAAGTTTTATGTGCTCAGCTTGATACTGGGGTTCTTTGCTTATGAGTGTCAATAAAATGGGTCAGCACTACATATGCAGAGCTCCCCCCATCCATTAGAATGACTGTGTAATCCTGTGCATAGTGAGAGAACTCAGGTGAAAAAATTGGAACTAACAACTCCTCCAATACTCACCAATGACAATATGTCCCCCTTCATTGAAGAAAGAGACTCCATTTTCCAATGTGTTATCCAAACATGGCAGAACACCCTTGTTCTGATGATGAATATCCATGAGTTTTCCTCCCGCATTGAAGTTTCTCAAGCAACCCACAAAACTCTTTTTGGGTATATTCTGAAAATATAGATTCAGCCTATATTATGATAAACTGAATAACATGTGGAACAAATTTAGACCAACAAAGGTTTATTCAAGGTGTGAGCTTTCATGTGCATACACTTCATGCAAAATAACATAAGAGTGGACTGGTAAATGTATCCAATAATGTTTAGTCAAAATTATTCTTCTTGCCACAAATAAATTGGCAGATATCTTAGTCAGATGTGTGGATCTAATAGCCTAATCTGTGGATATTTAAATCTGTGCATCTGGGCCACTCTGACATAAACCAGTAGTTACCCAAACTCTGGAGAACCCCAGGTTTGCAGAAGAATCTGAAACTGTTAAAAAAATTACAGGGGGGTGGGTTAAATGTCCCTTCAAAAAAGGACTGTTTGCGAATGTGCAGCCAATGCTGCTACCTACTCTTCCATTGGCAGGCCCAGTGGGAGGTAGCTGGGAGCCACAGCAGGCCCGGAAGCCTAGGCAATGGGGGGGGGGGATGGCCAAGAGCTACACTGGGCCCAGCAGCATTAGAAATGGTGTAGGGGGAGCCACAGTGGGCCAGTGGAGGAGGCCACAAGCTATGCCAGACTTACCAACAGCAGTTTCAATACTATGGGGGGTGGCCAGGAGCTGTGCTATGCCCAGCGGTGGTGATGGTTAGGGGTGCAGGAGCTGCTACAAGCCTGGCAGCAGTGAGGGGGAAAAGGAAAACTAAGAGGGCTAAAATATCCCTCCGTGAGTATCGTGGAGTATCTTGTAATGGATGAATTAAAGATGTAAGAAATTCCACCTCTCAAAAGATTAAGGAAAGGACATGACTAAGGAAACCAAAACACAGATTAAAGGGGGAACAGAACACAGGAGCAAAGACAGCTGTAGAAAAGGCAGAAGCAGAGATCTAAGCCCAGGTAGAGTGCTTTACTGGTCCCATCTCTTAACATTTTAAGGGTTAATGTTATGTTAAACATAGTTAAACAATTTAACAGTAAGAAATGCTGAGGCTGACTATGTAAATGTTTACAAATGCCAGTCTGGGACAGCCTTGCACAAGTGAGACATGCAGGGTATCTTTTCCCCGATTAAATAAATAAAAGGGAAACGGTACTCTTAGTTCTCATTTTGATGCCAATCAAATTACACTACATTCTTGCAGGTTCCTGAACAAGATGACACAGAATCCAAACTAGGATCCACATGTATAAAGGTCTATCTACAAGTATCAGTGCGAGCTAATATGGAAGATGACATGCTTGTCATATATTAGCTTTTGCTTATTTAAATACAGCTGACTTAAGCCTCGGGGTTAATGTGGGATGACGAGTCAAATACATACACATTCTTTGAAGAGCCCAATCATCAAAAAAAATCAGCTCTTTACCTTCAGTCTCAATGAAGGAACCCCTCCTAAATAGATGGGTAACTCATTACTGGCAGAGTAATTACGTGGAATGTTTCCTTCTTGAGCCCTTAAGCCATCAATGACAAGACGCGCTCTCTTTTCAGCAATGCCGAATGCCACCTTTTTGGGAGACAGATATAATGTTGAATAAATATATGGCAGAAACTAATCAGTACAGAACTGTCTTTAACCAATACATACTACTTTTTTCATTCAAACTGAAAACAGCAAACACCATTTAATAAGGAATAACTAAACTAGATGCTTTTTTCAACTATTTCAATGTTTAGCAATCCTGGAGCATTTTACTTCTTTAGGAATACATTGGTCTCTTTAAAATTTCTCATATAATACTTATCTTCACAAACCTTTTAACAGAGGGACAGTGGCTAGCATCCCCCCCCTGCCATGGCACTTGCAGCTTCGCCAATAGAGGGAGTAGTTTGCTGCCAGAGTTGAAGATGGAAAATGAGGCAAAAAGGAACTCAAGCTTCACTCCTTTAGAGAGATACCCCACAGACTGGTAAGAGTGGCCATCTCAGGAACTCTGGCTGTAATACTTTTACTGAAGCAGCTATTGGACTCACATTATGCCACTGTCCATCATTGTATTTGGCTTTGCTTTTGATTTTTATCTTCCTCCCATCTTCACCAGCAACTGAAAGGATATAACGTCCTTTTGAAAGGTAAAGAGCCACATAACTGTTCTGTAGTGTGTCCCCCATGAAGAAGATCAAGCCTCCAGACAACGATGACCGTACCTCAATTGCAAAATGAGACCTTGAACGTAAAGGGAAAAAAGGCATTGGAGAGGATGAAACTGAAATGCAGAAGCAGCTCTCCATACACTATTATTCATTTTCATTATACCAGTGCAAACGATGGACAATAGTCTCTTTTAGATTCCCCAAACCTTGTGAGACAGGAAATCATTTGCCCAAGGCTATCCAGTGAACTTCAAGGCTGAGCAGAAATTTGAACCTGAGATAGAGAAACCCAGGACTGGGCCTTCTGGAAATGGCAAGACAAATGCCATATTGCTTTTTGTTTTCTTATTAATGATAATAGTAATAAATAATACATTTATTATTACATGGCATAAAAAGCTCAATACTGAAATACCCACAACATTTCAGATTCTGCAGAGAGAGGGGGGGGGGAGAGAGAGAGAGAGCAAAATGAAAATTAATCCAAGTACCTGTCTCTCGGTGATATTTTGGAAGTTGTAAACAACAAATGAGTGCCAGGAGTATTGCCAAAGTGATATGCTCCAGTGACAAAATTTAACGGAGCACCTGAGGGACAGTTGTCACTGTTTTGCTTTTTATTTGCATCTGTCAAGTAGACAGTGGGTGTTTTCTTCTGTAAGAACAAGAGAAAATATAAATATTTTGTTTTGGCATCTCTAAGAATAACCTAATATAGTAGGATTTTGTTTGGGGTGGAGGTTATATGCTTCCTTAAGATTATCTTGTGATCTTACTCAGCCTGTTTGAAAATCTAGATCGAATGAAAACTAATAAGGACTGAATTTCAGTTAATGAGTTTAGATTCAGGGATTACACCTGAAATCAACTAATCAGTTAAGTCAGAATTTTGGCTTTTAGATCAAGATGCTAATCTTTGTTATTAATGAATGAACTTTCATTCTAAGCACGAGAAAGTTTTGTAGCAGAACATGAACTCCTTATGATGGTCCCAGCTGATGCATGCTTCTCCACGATATTTTATCAACTTCAAGCTCTCCGTTATCTATTCACATTTTAACAAATGGACAATTTTTGTACCAAGCCTCATAATTTTGCATCCAGTATAAAAGAGTTGAATAAAGTCAGTATGGGCATATTTGCCTAACTAGATAACATAAAAGAAATTAGGGTTTCTCAGTTGCATAGATTGAGGAATACTTTCCTGACCTTAAAAACCTTCAAATGGTAGGCATCTGTTAATTCTTTCAGCAGCATCAGCTGTGGTGGCTTCTTTATCATACAGGATCCTAAGGACACATCATTCTTCTGAGTATAATTCGTTAGATTTTGAACCCGAGGTCTGCGTCCTGTTCTGGAATAGTGAGAAGAAATAAATTATGTGATAGTACACTGCTTCCTAAGAGTCAAACTGGCTAAGGGAAACAGCCATCAAGCTACATGTGATGTGGGAGTCCTGTGACTGGGCATCTGTTTCAGATGCGTAATTTGGCCCTTAAAAAGTAGCTGCAGAGGGGTTCCAAATGTGGATCAGGACCATGGTGCTAGGAAAAAGAAACATTCAGCACAATATGGCAATCCCCCCCCCCCATTAGAGCTTAAAACAGCCTGGGGGCAGCAGTTTTGATTGGAGAGATGTGGGGAGAAGAGTTCCTCAGAAGCACTTTTGGCTGCCCCGTGACTGCTTTTTAGACCAATTACTAATGCAGGATTCCATCATGTTGGGTTCTAAATTAAAGTATAATTACTCAGAAAAGAACTTCTGTCAATGACAGGGGCTTGGTTCCACATGATTTCCAGTTCTGATTTGAGGGTATACTAGGGTCTGTACAAAACAGGAAAGAAGGAAATCAGAGCGCACAAGGGAAGGGGAAGGGCGAGGAAGGAGTTGCAAGAACCCAATGCTTGTTCTTGTAATGCCAAAACCCGCCAGTCTGTTCAACTGATATTGCCAGTTTGCCAGTTTTGAAACTTTAAGATTATTGCCCATATTGTGAATGCTAAACCATGGATACAGCTGCATCCAAAAACCTCTTCTGAGAATGAATGTACTTTGCATTTGAAATATAGTGCTAATAAAAATGCCAGCTACCACCTTGGCCCTAGGTGTCTACAGAATACTTTTGATAGGTTAAGAGGGGGTGCTTCCATGCTTGGCTAAATGTCAATTTATATCAACTGTCCCCTTTTTAAAAACTACTTCTAATTTTTTTTTTTGCAAGCCTACCACCTGTTCCTCACATGAGGAGTGTGTTTTTTTTTCTTGCAAAGGACTGCCTGTTTCAAGGCTGTAATCCTGAAGCTGATTCACAAGTTGTTTCACCACTCTCTCTGTGTTAGAAAATGGCAAATACTTTTGCTAAATTACATTTGTTCATTCAATTTTTATTTTGCCTTTCCTTCAAGGACCTCAGGGCAGCATGTATTATTTTCTCTCTCCAATTTCATCCTTACTACAACCCTATGAGATACATAAGGCTGAGAGAGACTCACTGGGTCAACGTCACTCTACTTTATAGTAAAGCAGGGATTAGGACTAGGATGTTCTCAGGCTTTCACTTGAACAGCTATACCACTTGGGTCACAATGTGCTACGAGTCTACATCAATGCTGCATCAGTGGTTACTTTAAAAGGCTGCCCATATGAACCTGCCTGCCTGTTGAGAGCACCTTCAGAGGCCCTGCTCTCTGTTCATACCTTTTAAGGCTTGGATCCAGACAAACATTTCCACTAATGGAAGGGAAGGAGCAATTTCTGCTGATTCCCCCTTCCCATTGTAGACCACCTCATGTCATTCCTCAGGGTCTATTATTCCCCAGGAACACTATTTTCTGATGATTAATGAGCTGCAATGGGGCGGGGGGAGGAAACTTCCATTCCAGGGATCCAACCCACTGTGAGGTGATTGTTTTATGGTTCTTTCCATGGATTGTATTGTTCTTTTTTATGTGTTTTCACTGAATAGCAAGCTGTCTCAGGAACTGAAATAAGGTTAAGAGTGTGAGGTATCAAATAATAATAACAGAAAGATTTCAGATGATCTTATACCAGTATAGCCACATATTGTGGGAGGGCCAATGAACTGGTGCACCATGCGCAAGCCAGTAATCCACAGGAAAGACTAGGGCGCTTTCACACATGCTAAATAATGCAGTTTCAATATTACTGCTGGCGAAGCAAGTTAACACAGCTGAAAAAAACACTTCCAACACAGTCTAGCCCAGAACATGGCCTCCTACCCTGATACAGCCATTCTGGACTCCTGAATCTACACTTGGTAATATTTAGACTCCTATAATGCACGCCGCACTGATGTCTCCCCTTGAACTCAACATGAAGGCTCTCACCCTCCTGGCTTTGCACAAACTATGCAAAACTGGATTATTCAGGAGGGCTTTTTTACACAGGTAATAGGGCTGTACTGTAAATAAACGGTTCAGAAAGTTGCTTTGGTAAAGGGGGAGAGTCTGCAAATTATACCATTATGTATAGTACGTGCTATCTGTTGCTCTAAGTATGATCCTCCTATGTAATTTCTGCATTGTTTAATGTGTCATGTTAATAATTATGCTTTATTTCAGCTCTGTTGCAAATTTCTGTTTGGTTTCAGATTTCTGCAGTCCAAAAATCGTGTTGTTCATTGGATGTCCTATCCTGTTGATTGTACTGATTTACGCTGTAGAAAATTTTTTAGAGTCCAGCAAATGTTTATTTAAGGTATGAGCTTTCATGTGCATGCGCACTTTTTCAAATTTACACTGTGTAATCTGTCTTGAGTCTTGGTGAGAAAGGCAGACTATAAATGCCTAAATAAATGGCCATCCTACATGTTAACTTTCTAGTTCCACTTTCAGGCATGCAGACATTCCTTTACTGATGTATCCTCATACATCATCATCTGTGCCATTTTCATTCTATTTTGTTCATTATAAGCATACGGGTTTCATGAAGAACAGAAATGTTTAGAAATGTCTCATGACCAATCCTATGTAACCAGTCTCCATATGGAAACCCACATAGTGAATTATATATACCTTTGTATGAAGACGTTGGAAATGCAACCTTCAAAATTATTCCCACCCATTTGTATTGGTCGACTTGAAGTTCTCCTTGCAAAAGTTCCCTCTATTGTTGATTCGGGCACATCATCAACAAGCAACCTTAGTCTTGAACAAAAAAAACAAGAGCCAGAGTTAAATTTTCAGAGCAAAACTATCTACCCATGTAAACGATTGTATGTTGGTTACATTTCACTTATTCATCAATTAATTCATCAATTTACTTCAGTGGAGTCTTTTTCGATACTGGTCTATGATTAATTCAGGGTATAGCTACAAGGCGGACATGTATGTCTCATGCTCTTAGTTTTGCATAGCAGTGCAAAACTAGAAGCATGAAAAACAGTGCCTAGGTAAAACAGAGCAATGTGGCATATAGGATTTGAATGCTAGCAGTGCTCCTTTGCTTTTAAAAGTTGCGCCACCCAAGAAAAGTGCAGCATGTTCTGTGGAGAGCCAAAGGATCCATTAGGCAGTGTTCCCTTCCATGTAGCGGTATGAATGAATCCAAACGTGTAAAACAATGAACAGCAGTATAGATATGATCTTAGATCCTCCGCCTCATAGGAGGATTTGGCAGTGATTCACAGCTTGTTTTATAAGGGAGGGTTCTTTCAATTGTGCATGATTTTTTACTAAACCAACAGTGAAACCCTAGGCAGAGATACGCCCTCCAGTTGACTTAGAAGGGTGTATCTCCAGTTAGCACTGTTAGAAAAAAGATTCCACTGGGAGAAGGATCTGGGAATAACACTGCCCAATAATGTGTGAGATGTGAACCGCTGGTCATTTTTCTTAAGGGGGTTACTAGATCATTGGTGTGGAAGTTGTTATTAGTCACCAAAATTGTTATTTTATGACACTGGAAAATGGCAATAAATGAATCACTGATGCAGCAGAGGAGACAAAAAGCTGTGAGGTATGTATGCAGTATGGCCGATTTTTTTTTTTGCTTAATATGAACTTAAAATTAGATAAAAGATAAAATATGACTTGTTATTATTACCCTGAAGTTTAAAGAATGTTTAAAATAAGATTTCTTAGACTCTTTAAGAAGTCATAGTAGACGATGTTTAAGTTGGAGCGGAAGTTTGAAAGATGATGAACATGTTCAATGAATTCATATGAATATTTAGCTATATAAGCTTGTAATCTTGTTAAAGCAGTTTGTATGACACCCACTCTTGGGTTTTTAGAGGTTCCTTTACTTTATCCTATAGTATGTAGTCCCTTTTCCCTTTTTTCATGTAGTGTTTACTTTTAGAAAATGCAATTAAAAAATCCCCTTCAGCCCCCCCCCCAAAAAAAATTAGAAAAAAAGACATGATCACTGTTGTATACTAAGCTTGGACGCGTGCAAGGCCAAGCCCACGCGCAGTCAGGCGAAGAGCCCTAGCTTCGCTCTAAGGAACAATAGACCAAATGGATCCTAGCCCGCACCTATCAGAGAGCTAGGATCCAAGGTAGGATCTATGGAACTCTTGGCCACTGTAAATATCCTATCACTGGTGAAGGGTGTGTGCTTGGGTGTGGTTTGACTCCTAAATATAAGTCGGCCTGCGAGCTGGCATTCTCTCTCTTGTTCTACATCTCTAAATAAAGTATGAGCTGAAATCACTTCACTGTGCATCAGGCTCAGTACTTTTCAATCACCAAAAGAAACTGATATATATTTTAGAAATTCCTAATAATGCAGAAAATAGAAAATTTCATATCATCTCAGGTTTTACCATACAAATGGGTTTCAAGCAGCTGATTCTCATTTTGGTTGTCATGGGACAAGGTTATCACATGCCAAGTTATCTCCCACCAGCTGGGTTTTCACGTGATAAGACATGGTTTCTGACAGCCAATCAGTGATAGAAATTTCAACCACTAATGTTACTATGAAATTATGATGATTATCACATGAGAACCTAAATTCTGATAGGTTCCCTCCTCCAAACCAATTACAAATAAATAGTGGGCACAACCTTCACAATCACTGCATCATTTCTGCATTTATTAGATTTTCCAGCTGAGAGTATAGAACTCTGTCATATTGCCTGAGAACTGAACAGAATGCTTCTGTTGCATATCAACGCAAAGAAACTGGAAAGAGGGAAAATAGTTTCCATGTCATCAATATGCCAAGAGAGCTATCTCTGTGCACTGCCCGATCTAGCAATTTCAGTCCAATACACACTTAGTTTGTAGTAAGTGCAACTGAACTCAGTTTTGAGTAAACTAGCATTGCACTGTATTGCATGTCTGCTTACAGAGCCTCATGTGTGCAGGGTCTTCCTTCATTCATCTGTGTGAGGGAAATACTTGCACACACAATATGAAATGCCACTGAAGTCTCACAGAAGAGTGTGAAATGCACTCTGTTAAATGTAGTGCTCTTGATAATAGTCTACAATGAGATGCAGAAAAGTATGCTATTGTTTTATCACTAATATGTCTGCAACGATCAAGAATGGACGTATGAAGAGCATTCTGAAAGGCTGTCTCGCAAAGCAGTCTTTCATATACCCTGTTTGCACAAATCCCAATGAAGTTTATAAAAACCCACAGCATCCATTTACTAATATTGGACTTACATGTCGCCTTGTTTCATCACTGTTACATAATGCATTGAACCAGCTCCATATTTCTTGCTAGACTGGTGTTCTTCATCAGCTAACCTTACAATTACGGAGCCATTCCTCAGAAGAACAGAAAGCATATCAGGCTAAAAAAAATTACACACAAAATTGTTTCATTTTTGAGCTCATAAATATTTCAAGTTTGGCAGCAAACTAATATGATTATGTTTGAAAAATACATATTTCATACCCGTAGATTGTAATTTAATAATGTTCCGTCCAGCGCCAATGTGTAAAATCCAAATCCAACTTGGAAATCATTTGGAAATGGGAAACCATCATCACTCAGATCAAGTATTCCATGCTTGAAAAAAGTTCCAGTCCTCACAAGCTAAAAATGCAGATGGTTAATGAAATTAGGATTTCACTAGTGAGATTCATACCTACTTTCCCCATTTCTGCTATAATATATGAAGTGAGTTTAACAGATCTCACGTGGGGTTTTTTTGGTGACTTTTTTAAATGAATTAACAACTTATCTGAGATTGAATTATCTTAATTGCTGCAAGTCAATATATCCAGCAGGAACATGTATCTAGAAGGTAACTAATCTAAATCCAACCTGAACACACCCTGTTTGTTAACCCTAGAAGTTTAACTAATCTGAATGACATTTTCTTGGACTCTCAGATCCAAGAGGACAAAGCATGTTCCAGCCATTTGCATGGCCATAGTACAATGTCTGTTGCTGCTCCCTGCTTTTGGTTTTCATGCTATCTTTAAATTTCCATTCCCAGGCATAGCAAGGGATAAGGGATCGGCTGTGACGGGAGAGCAAATCAGCAGATATGTGCCTTACGGTTACACCATCCAAAGTAAAAGTAAAGGTTTCCCTTGCTCGAAAGCCAGTTGAATCTGACTCTAGGGGGCAGTGCTCATTCCTGTTTCCAAGACGAAGTGCCAGTGCTGTCCGAAGACTTCTCTATGGTCATGTGGCCAGCATGACTAAATGCAGAGGCTCATGGAACACCAAAGCAGTACCTATTTATCTACTTTCAATTTCTTTCTTTCAAACTGCTAGGTTGGCAGGAGCTGGGGCCAGTGATGGGAGCTCACTCCGTCATGCGGCACTTGGGTCTTGAACTGCCGAACTACCGACCTTCCGGTCTTCAGTTCAGCATCTTAACCTCTGAGCCATCCAAACAAATCAGTTAACTCATGTTCAGCCATACAGCATCATTCCTCACTGGCATTTCTGGCATTTCTGTCCAGCTGTGCACATCCCTAGTATCCAGTATTTAAAGGTGTTATGGTGTGCAAATTACCTTCCAATCATCGGCACCTGCCCTGTGTAGTGTGGACAGCAGGTGTACTCTTAGGAGCTCTCCAGGCCCTGGAGCATGCAAAAGAGGTTCTCCAATTCATCATGCATCCACGAAATGGAGGTGTTGATATATTAAAGCTGTTTCCAGAAATTAAAAAAATTTGCAAGTTTTGACTATTTTTAAATTATTTGTACTTCTTTTTATTAAATAATTTTTGAAATCCAACTTTTGTATATTGTGATATTCAGGGGTCTTTTCATAGAAAAAGAGGTGCATGAGCTCATTAGCATAACTCAGTAGCATATGCCACACCCCCTGACATCACCGGAAGTGTATCAGAAGGCCACACACCCTGACATCACCGGAAGTGTGTCAAAAGGCAACATCCACCACTCAGGCTCCACTGGACTGTTTTAGATTGCTAGCTATTGGGGGAGGGGGACGTGCAGATCTGTCCTCGCAGAGGAGGGACAGCTTGCACCTGAATAAAAACCTGGTCTTAAAGATGCCACTGAACTGCTTTGGATTGGTAGACATGGTGGGTAGACACTTCTGTCTGCAGAGAGGGGTTGGGGAAGGCTGGGGATAGCTGTGGAGGGCCCCGTGTAGTAGCGTGGGCCTGCAAAAAGGGGGTGCGGAAGGCCGGGGAGGGCTTGGGAGGGGCTTGCGCGGTAGCGCGGGCCTGCAGTGAGGGGGGGGGGGGGGCTGGGAAGGGGCCCCCGC